TCTCGTAATAGTCTCTTTTATCTCGTCGACTACCTCTTCGAAACCTGAAACTTTGCTCTCGATATCAAGACTCCATTCTCTCACTTCCTCTGCTGTATCTCCCTTCTCAATTCTGATTTGTTGAACTTCGATTTTAAGCTTATGAGTCTGTTCGATTAATTCTTCGAAAACCCTTGTATGACGTTCCATTGCTTTTACCTTATGATCTTCCAGTACTCTTGGTGTATCTTCTTGTGTAAATTTTAGCATACGAAGTTTCCCATCGATTTGTTTTAGTAGCTCTTCTACTTTGTTGGTAGTTGACATTTTCAAGATGGCGGCGATATCTCACGAATTTTCGATGTTTTTATTGATTACTCACGCTGTTATTTCCCGCTCTCTCGTTGTGATTTTCGGCTAAAATCCTGCTTGGGGTCGCCACTTTGTCGGAAACGTATATTTCTACTCGACAAAACTGTTTATTTTAAACTTAAATTCATTGAAACTCTCACATTTGATTTACAAAATCTCTCACTGTTTTGTTTTTCTCTCATACCTGAGCCCTCGATCCTAGCGCTCGCGGCTCTTCTGTTCGCAATACTTTATATAAGTCTTAATAACTATATGTAATGTCAATAATGTCTAAATTATCTACACCGTTGCACATATTTTAATCTTAAACTGATATAAAGACACCATATGTTTTTTGGTAATTCTTAAATTTTGTAATTTTGTACCGATACAACCAAACGTGGTCGAAATCTATCATGGAGGTTACCTTCTTTGACCGGACTGAAATATCCACAGCAACGTAAAGTGTCATAAACTGCTTTCCCATGAACTTTCGCTTTGAATCGGATGTAAAACAATGAACTGCCAGAAATCCTTGCAATTCCTGAAAAATTAAACTGAATAGTTATATAAATATTAAATGTGTATTATTTACATATTCTCGTTACGTACACAAAACATATACGAATATAATTTCTTTTAGGATTTTTGGTTTCATGCATGTTAACTTGCTCTATATACACTTGCTCAATAAAGCGCATTGCTTTACCTGCATGCCCAACATAATTAATAATATACTGAACGTATACTGATTTTTACGTGCAGCGCCAGCGGGTATATACGTTAGTTGATATAGTTGAAAGCAGGTTAAATTATGCATACATGTTCACATACAGTTATATAATAGCAGGTTAAAATGGTGCATACAAAGTCATGTTCACATGGTCGCATTGACCATGTGAACATGCATGTACATACAGGTATATGCACAATTTAACCTCTTTAACTGTATCAACTATAACCCCTGTAAAAAGTAGTAAGTTCAGTATATCAGTTATGCTGGGCATGCAGGTAAACACCTTCTATCTGCATCTGTATTTATATTAACCTCCAGAAAACATGTCTTCTGGACTGTCTATGCTGTGACGGACCATGCATTTGTACCATTTGGCCATCTAATATTCTTAAATTTTAATCATAAAAAGCCCTGACATGGATTTAATTAATTAAATAATTGTTGATGAGACCTCAACCGGGTTCCAAAATCCCGCCATACCAACAAATTTTCACTTCAAATTCCATTATCCCGCCTTGCCTTGATCCCAACTTCCCGCTCCCGTCTTTGTTTCTAACACTGTTCAACGTATTATGGTTCAGATGAAGACAACGGATATAACCAGGTGTCCAAAGAACGTGGTAAATACAATATAACAGAGTGTAAAAATGATAAATGCCTCTAAATCGCGACTCTTACTTACTTACGGCAATCATACTTATCGAAATCACTAGAGTGGTAAATTTGTCCCTCGAGATTTGCACGCGCTGGGTTGATTTTATGTACCACGTGATGAACTTTTTGAACACCTCGTGACCGCTTCGAAACATTCTACGGTGTTCGTAACTTCGTATTTGCTTCGTAAACAATCTGCGATGTTCTAGTGGAATTGGCGCTATAATGAATGATTTTAGAGCTCTTTAATAGTAATACTTTTGACTATGTTTCAAGAAGTGAAGGTCGAGTAGATAACATTCTTGAACTGACGTCACAAAATACGCGAATATTCAGGTTGTTTGGCTATATTGCAATAAAATATTCAGCACCGTTAATAAAGACAAGCACACTGAGGTGTAAGATTTGCAGTAAATACTTTTTCTTTACCTTAATTTGTAGTTCTAAAATGCTTGGGCGTTTATAGTTCTTTTCAGAACTTTAGAATTACAATTCGCATAATCAAAATATTTTTTACAAGCAATATTCCCTGACAATCCCTGTCAAACATCGCAGATTGTTTACGAACACCGTTGACGTTGAAAGTTTCGAAGCGGTCACGAGGTGTTCAAAAAGTTCATCACGTGGTACATAAAATCAACCCCGCGCGTGCAAATCTCGCGGGACAAATTTACCACTCTAGTGATTTCGATAATACATGCATGCAAATGAGGGGTTGATGAGGGACAAATGTTCAATATCATCCTTAAAAACCGTAAATTTCGAGCACTCGAACAAATGACAACAGATCAGGTACATATTAAGCTAAAATACGGCCATGTTTTATTGTTTTGTTGATTTAACCTGTATATCCGCGCTAATCATGGATTACTTTCCCGATTCTCAATACCCGTTAGGGCTCGGAACTTTTCTGAGTATAGGCTTGATACGCATCCACACCAAATCATATATATATATATTACGACGTAGGCTAACAGCAAGTATATTGCAATACATAAATGCAAACTAAGATTAAATTTCTTTTACTTATATTTTACCCGTTCCGCTATGTTCGGATAGCTTCCTCATCAGAATTAATTTGTCTTCAGGATGTATATAGTCAAGTACGTTCTTCTCAATCAGATCACCCTAAAAATCCAGTTAATTAAATGTCAGAATAATCTGCTAAAAACCGGCTGGAGCAATTTGATTATTAAACTTGATGTGCATGCATGAAGATTACAAATCACTATTAATTGCATGCCATTTTTTTAGCTACATATGCCGGCCGCAAGAAAGGCTTTGTGATCTCTGATACAACAGCAAAACTCTTAAGCCCCGTTTACACGAGCAAATTTTATTTGACAAATTTAATATGACAAATGCATTTGATCAAAAGCTAGCATGCTAGCTTTTGTTGAAATGCATTTGTCACAATAAATTTGTCACGAATGTATTATCTACACGAGCAAAATATCTTTGACATATGAAATTTGTCAAATAAAATGTGCTCGTGTAAACGGGGCTTTAGGCTATATATTTGTATTTAAATGCACTGCCACGTGACTTCGGGTATTATATATTAATTTCATTTATTATAATAAGCTTTCGAAATTATGCATGTTTCCTATATAAAAAATGCATGGGATAGATATGTACTGCATGCAGATGACGTTCTTGCTACAGTAAAGAAGGAAAGACAAGACAAACGAAACTGTGCATGCAGATCGACCATAAACAAAACTACAGAAAACATTACATTTACTATGGAAGAAGAAGAACAAAACAACCAACTCGCTTTCCTCGACGTTTTTTTGACAATAACTGCATGATGACGACACAATACAAACCGAAGGTTCACTACAACAGTAACCATATCCCACTCAACACAAAATAAGTTGTATAAAAACCTTATTCAACTGAATTGATATACACAAGCACTGTAACATAGAACACGCAAAACAAGCAGAGCGTAACTATATAACTTTACTCAACTTTATCAAGAACAACTATACCCAAGGAATTTTATCAACAAAGCACTAACCATGCAACTAACCAACTAACCAAGTCACCTACAACCCACAAGAAATCACAAAACAAACATGAGAACCAACGTTATATATACAAACAGTACATCTGAAATGACCTCCATGAAGGCTACTACGACCTTTTAGCATTGATGTAGCACACAAACCGACTCGTAAACTTAGGGACTGGTCATAAAGTAACTGCTAGGGTGGGCTAGCTGGAGGTAAATCACAAATTTTGCCAATAAGTTCGGTGACCCATCTTAGGATGTAGATAAAAATTTCAAAGCCCATCTAATCTTACAAAAAAATTTTCATGACCCACCCAATCTAAATTGGGAAAATACACTTTTTATAAAAAAAACTTGCAGGTATGAACATTGTAAATATACACGGCACTGTATTGACATACATAATTCCACCAAGCTTGACCAACACATTAATTCATACTGAGCTGCTCTTCAGTTGGTTGTATTTGCTGTGATTCGACCACTTCTTGTTGTTGTATAAACAAAGTACTGGCTTCAATAGCATCATTTGCATTTGATAATTTGGATAGTTTTGTTTATTTTTATCTTTATTTTTTGAAGTAGACAAGCATGCCCATATGGTTTTTTGTTTGGTGGGCCAACCGTGGACATACAAAAAAATTGGTGGCCCATCGAAACTGCCCAAAGATTTTCCATAGCCCATCCCAAATCACTCCAGCTCACCCTAGCAGTTACTTTATGACCGGTCCCTTAGATCATACTTCACAGAACACAAAGATAAAACAAGCACTGTAGAAACACGAAACGCAATATATATGATAAGTTAGCTTTCGTTGGTAGGGATGCAACTACCTGAAAATATATAAGATGATACCTTGCAGAGACTGTCAACAACGATACATTGGCCAAACCTCAAAAAAGATTGAGACACGGATAACTGAACAAAAAACGCCATAAAACGATACGACCGTAGGTCACTTCAACGACCGTAGGTCACTTCCCGTCATGGCCGTAGGAACCACGGAGGCAGCGGGCTAACTTTTAGAAGCAGAGGGCTGAGCCCGCTAAAAATTCTAATTTCTAAGTGAATCTCGAAGTGAATGCACAGTTGCACATGCACGTTTTGAGTTTGCTTAATACAGATGTATGATGCAGAGGAAGATTGAACCCTTCTTTGCCCCAGCTCTATCCCAAAGCTCGGAAGATACAGGGACTGAAGTTGGAAAGTTAACTTTACTACGGTGACCTGTAAGCGCCACCTCGCGCTCTTCTGCATGCGTACAATTAAGTTGGCTGCTGCTTCGTCAAAATTCTAATAAGGCCATGATAAGAAACCTGCACCTAAATAGTTTACTTTAAAGACAATACATCTACAAAACTAGTCTACAAAAAATACTCTGACATTGGCTAAGAAAGTGTAGATATATCAAAATGATGTTGTTTATGATCATAATATTTTATTGTAAAACTCGAAGTAAATCTAACCCCTAAATGCAGGAAAACGTGTTTCAGAGAGTTGAAATTCAAAAAATTTTCCCGAGGTTGGCATGCCCCCGGACCCCCTGCGGCGGGCCCGCGGTTAAGCCATCAATCAACTTTAATCATCTTCCTACGGCCCTGCTTCCCGTTGTACAAACATACGACAATTGTCATACATTTAACTGGACACACACTGAACTACTAGGACAAGCACAAACTAAAGATGCACGCGAATTCAAAGAAGCATGGCACAGCATGGACAATAACACAATCAACCGACACGTTGACATTCCAACTCCGATCTAACTTCAACTAAAAAAGACGGCTAATACCACTACTAACAATAATACGAACACTAACACAAATTATTGCCAACAACACTTCCTCTCACATCCAGAAAGTCGCATTCCAATCATTCTAATGATACCATCAACAAGGAGATTAATGCAACATTAATACATCGTGCAGTAACCACCAATGAAATGGGATCATCGTCAAGCGAACAACCAATCACACGCTCCTGATGTATACAAGAACGCAAACAACAGCACGAAATTTCAAACTCATTAATTGTAAAATAATTCTGATGAAGACTCAAACTACCAAGTTGAAAGCTCAATAAAAGTCATTATCAATCTGGAGAACTTTCACAAATTATAGGGTGTCTCAAAAAAAAAGGTATACCTTTTGAAATCAAGTCTTTGTTGGAATTTGAATGCCTTATTACTACAGGGTGAGTAAAAAAAAAACTGATACCTTCGCGGCTAATTTGAATAACAAAGGTGTCAGTTTTTTTTTACTCACCCTGTATACAGGGTGTATAAAAAAAAACGCAACCTCGGAATTTCCTAAGAAATCACTTTGCAATTCTTAAGCATAAAAGATTTTAGGCCCCTGGGAATTGAAATCGAATTGCTAATAGATCATATTACTGTTGTTGTCCATTAAATAAATGCATAAATTTTGCTTTATGCACTCGTGTGTGCACTAATGTTGACAGTTGTGCTATTTTAAATTCCCAGGCACCTAAAATGTTTTGTCCTTAAAACAACGTCGATTTCTTGGGAAATTCCGAGGTTGCGGTTTTTTTGATACACCCTGTACAGGGTGTCTCAAAAAAACCCAAAATCATTGAAATTGACGTATTGTTCGATATTCAATGCCCTAGCACTAAGTTAATCCCACGAGTGCATAAAAGATTGACATAACTGCTATAATGGATGGTAATACTCAGCGTAAACTTGTTATGTCAGGCATAAAGTACTAAACCCACGAATGCATATTACGCATATTACAATTTACGAAGCATTTTTAAATTCCCATGAGCAAACAAACGTTCACTTTACAAAGATATTTTAATTTTTTAAAACAAATTAATCACCCTGTCAAAATCCTTTGTGTTACGGCATTGAAATTCGAACAATACGTTATTTCAATGAATGCGTAAACACAATTGAATCGAATTTTATGCATATACAGGGTGTATAAAAAAAAACGCAACCTCGGAATTTCCCAAGAAATCGACATTGTTTTAAAGACAAAAGATTTTAGGCGCCTGGGAATTTAAAATAGCACAACTGTCAAAATTACTGCACACGCGAGTGCATAAAGCAAAATTTATGCATTTATTTAATGCACAACAACAGTAATATGATCTATTAGCAATGCTATTTCAATTCCCAGGGGCCTAAAATCTTTTATGCTTAAGAATTGCAAAGTGATTTCTTAGGAAATTCCGAGGTTGCGTTTTTTTTTATACACCCTGTATTTTGAGTTAACTTAAGGCAGCGTTTACACTGTACCGTTGTCGTAGCGTTCTCGTATTGTTCGAGAGAACTAGACTATTGTCTTGCGTTCCCTTGAGGATTAAGAACAATACGAGAACGCTACGAAAACGGTACAGTGTAAACGCTGCCTATACAGGGTGTCTCAAAAAAACCCAAAATCATTGAAATAACGTATTGTTCGAATTTCAATGCCGTAACACAAAGGATTTTGACAGGGTGATTAATTTGTTTTAAAAAATTAAAATATCTTTGTAAAGTGAACGTTTGTTTGCTCATGGGAATTTAAAAATGCTTCGTAAATTGTAATATGCGTAATATGCATTCGTGGGTTTAGTACTTTATGCCTGACATAACAAGTTTACGCTGAGTATTACCATTCATTATAGCAGTTATGTCAATCTTTTATGCACTCGTGGGATTAACTTAGTGCTAGGGCATTGAATATCGAACAATACGTCAATTTCAATGATTTTGGGTTTTTTTGAGACACCCTGTATATGTAGTATTTTGAGCGTATAATTTAGCACAACAAAAACTCTTTGCTCTGCAGCTGAACCATTTTTGCTCGACCGGTGTGACTGATTATAATAATTTGACCATTTTTGTGTATTTTAAATTCCCATGCAGGAGTAGAAAATATTGTACTTAACCTGAAATAGTCTTACTTATAAAATCTTAATTGTATTAAACAAAACTAGGTAGCTACACCTTTTTACGCACCCGTGGGTTTAGCATAGTAATAAGGATTCAAATTCCAACAAAGGTTTGATTTCAAAGGGTATACTTTTTTTGAGCCACCCTGTATAGGCCGTTTTGCATTGTCGTCGATTTGCACGTACGGGACAAGCGACCTCTAGAAATCACGTGTGTATAATTAGTCTCACGAGAACGCCATGAGAAAGTTAAACATTTATGGCGTGCACAGACTGCAATGTCATAAAAGGGCTAAAACAGACAGCTTGTATCAACTTGTAAGCGCATGCTGCTTGTGATGTTACTCTGAGTGCATATCCACACCGGGCAAGCTTGAAAAATATGCCTGTCCACGGTGGGAATCGAACCTACGACCTTTGGAATACTAGCCCAATGTTCTGCCAACTGAGCTACGCGGTCAGGTCGGTTCGGGTATGTGATATTTCGGAACCGAATCTAGTTCCTTCGATATCAATGTAATATGTAAAATGAGTACGTTGCACTAACACAGAAAAAAATCATGATTATTAGATTACATTAATATCGAAGGAACTAGATTCGGTTCCGAAATATCACATACTCGAACCGACCTGACCGCGTAGCTCAGTTGGCAGAGCATTGGGCTAGTATTCCAAAGGTCGTAGGTTCGATTCACACCGTGGCCAGGCATATTTTTCAAGCTTGCCCGGTGTGGGATATACACTCAGAGTAACATCACAAGCATCATATATTCACCTGAGTACATTGCACTAACACAGAAAAAAATCATGATTATTAGATTACATTGATATTGAAGGAACTAGATTCGGTTCCGAAATATCACATACTTGAATCGACCTGACCGCATAGCTCAGTTGGCGGAGCATTGGGCTAATATTCCAAGGTCGTAGGTTCGATTCCCACCGTAGCCAGGTATATTTTCCAAGCTTGCCCGGTGTGGATATACACTTAGAGTTAAACATCACGAGCATCATCAACATTGTATGCGCGTTAATATATGCGTGTATTAGAGTTAAACATGCGCATGTTCAAAAATATTCTCTCTTTCCGCTCGTATAGTTACTTTTATTATATGGACAATGGTGTTTTACTGGAAACTAAAACACTCGTAGAACTCATACGTCACTACATCCGGGACGGCGGGACCAGATGCGCGTATTATTCCGTATTTCACCCCTGCGAATGACATACGAAGATCGAAAATTTGCCGCCATTTTCATTGGTGTTGTTTTGAAAATACAAATGGTCTTTGGTTCGTATATAAAACGAAATTAACGTTGGAAATAAGACGAAAACATTTAAAAGACATCTTGAGATAAGTAAAATTTATTCTTGTTATAAATTTAAAAAATATCGCTTTTATACTGGTCTTTCGCGTGCTTATTTACATGTCGTCTTTGTGTGTATTTTTGTCACTCTGAATAAGTCCATATAATAAACAGAACATTAAATGGTTGCGAGGAGATATGGATTTTATGTTCGAGTGGCATAAACCCATATCTCCTCGCAATAATCCATATCTCCACTATATACTATACGCGTAAATACTTATAGCTATATAGTTGATAACTGTGCGCTTTAGGCTCCTCCCAACAATTCGGAACACCATGAAAGCCCTGATCGGCTATATTCAAGCAAATTACAAAGCCAAACATTTTAATAACTGCATGAGATTTCCAGGCACATGCATGCAAGTGCTTGCATATTTAGTCAGGATATTTTGGCTGCAGCCTAAAATTTAATTCGCATGAAAAGTGTCCGCCACTGTTATACGACTATAGTATTCAGCACAATTAGCTATAGCTATAGAAATTCGTGCTACTCTATACCTTCTTATAACCAAGCAAGTCATAAACGCATTCAGAGAGGAACTTGAATGTTCCAGAGAGTGAAATGACGAAAAGGAAAGCATTATAACCCTAAAGTCAGAAAAAGATAAGTAAACAGGTAATAAAAAGAAATATGCCATAGCTGAAAAACGTTACCATGCAGTATCTAAAATTAATCAAAATAGAAAACTTTGTTATTTGTTACAATCCCTCAAAATGAAACTACATATAAGAATACATTTTAGAAATACTTGACTGTATCCATGCTTCGATCGATGTTGACAATGCATGAATGCATGCATCACTGCATACAGGGTGTAGAAAAACATCAGAGTCCTCAATTCATGCAAGTGTGTAAATTGCGAGAAAAAAATAAAGTAAACCATTTAACATATTTATGTTGATTTTAAAATTTATATAGTCATTCAGCTTTTCAACGGTGGTTCCCGAAAAAATGTTATTTTATACTGACAAGTGAGATCTATAATATATATGATAATCAAAAATTTGAGATGCAAATTAAATCAAACCGACACAGGAAAAAAATCAAGCATTTTGGCACGGTATTCTGCAGTAGTTCACTTAATCATATATACTTGCTAATTCAGTCCGTAGTTGGTGTGGATGGCATCGGTGTCAATGATAGACTATAGAAATGCATGATATGCATGATTACTGCATGATTGTATATATGTTCTTTCTGATTGACTGCCTGTTCTATCGTTGTTCACAAAGAACGTACAATTAGTTTTAAACAATTGTTTAATTTTGCTTTACACTGCAGAAGAATAACAAAATATGCTACTAAAAAGCATTTACTGCATGGACAGTACTGTTGTCAGTGGCTAATATAAGCACAGCCGTGGATGATTATAAACAGTTCAAAACATATAAATTATTCATCCTCGAGTCTCAGCTGAAATGTCAGCAGCAATTACTTTATCTGGCCGCTGAACGCGTCTTTTGGGTGCGCAATTCACACTATGAATATTGCGGGCTTATAATACATTCTTTGACGTCACATGAGTAAAACAAAATGAAATACTCGCAACAATTAACGAAACATCAAAACCATAAGTATATATACTCAAATAGACTTACTTATAGTGTAAAAAATACCTATATGTAAAATATCAAGAAGATATTTGCTCTGTAATTCGCTTCTTTAAATTGGAATAACTATAGTTACGGAATAAGCAAACAAACCTCAAACATTAGATGTCTAACTTCATTATTCTGAAGAGAAGGTGTCGTATCTTTACACGTAATAGCTACTGTTAAATCTATAAAAGCACATGATTAAGGTTTCATTCATAATTCAAAACACCAAGTGCATGTATAAATTATTTTTGCATGTATTCATCCAGATTACAATATAAAATTCGAGATAAAATTATCTTGAACTATTATGATGAATTTCATCAACTATATAACAGTGTATATATGTGTATTAAAGACAAACCAAATTACCGTTTTCGGTTTGTCCTATACTCTATAGGCCTATAATTTGCTTCTTTTTGTGCCACCACATTTCCCTTATTATTATATGGCTTTGCAGAATCCTGGATTCTGATTGGTCGACGTGCGGTCCGTAAAATGCGTATCCGGACCGTGGTCCGTATTTTCCCGTATCCGGACCGGTTTCCCGTATGTCAATTTGACAGCCTCGAATTTGAAACGTTTTTCACGTTTATGAGGTCGCTATGTGAAGAAAAAGTATCCTTGGATCATTTCTAAGAATAAGAAGTCTTGGAAATATTAATAAGTACTTGTACCAACACAAATTTCACCGAAAAAGCTAAGAAAACAAGTCGTTTGAACTCTTACTGGCAACTGTAAGTTTTGGCGGGAACATTTTTTGATTTGTTTACTTGTTGCAAAAAATAAATAAAGATGAATTTAACGTCTTTAATACCATATTCTAAACAAATATCATATAAACTGGGTTTATAAACATTTTTTCTGGGGGTGGGGGTTACCGAAAAAGTAGTTCTAAAGCGATTGTTAAACATGCTTTTCCGTAAACAATATTCGGTGACGAAACCAAATCTAAACGAAGAAAACTAGCAAATAAAACATAGATCAAAAATACCTTCATAGCGCTCAAACCAATATATGAAAATCAGAAAATGTGTTTAAGGAGCCATATAATAAACGGTTTATTAACCTCGTTTTGCTCGGTCTGTACGGGAAAGTATTTGCCTTCGGTTTATCCGCACAGAACTCGCTCCTTCGTCGCTCGGTCTGTACGAAAACCTCAGGCAAATACTTTCCCGTACAGACCTCGCTTTCGGTTAATAACCCTTTAATAGAGAGGTTAAGATACCCCGGTTTCGGTGTACGTGTAGCATGATTTTAGTTAGCAATATTTTCGTCGATGTCTGTACCTTTACTCGTCATTAAGGTGCACATTTTTCGCATTATATCATTGTCTATTAATGCAAGAAAACAGAAAAAGTATGATCGAATTACAGACATCAGTAAAACAAGATGACACTACTCGTACCCGTACACCGAAACCGGGGTATCTTAACCTCTCTATTATCATATTCTAGAGCAAGGGGGGGAAATTCGCTGCATGCATGGCACCTTCCATGAAACGACTTTATTTGTTTCATCTTCGTCGATTCACGGATAATTAGAACATAATGGAGCATTCATATACCACGGTACATTTAAAGAGGAGGTAGGGATCGACTTCCTAGTCGTTTGCATTCGGCTGCACCCTCCGTGTGCGGGTGCACCCTCCTCGTTTTAGGCAAATTCATTGCACGATCCCCAGTGGGTAAGGATTTGTCTCTTTGAAACATAAACTATAATTGAGAGACGTACGTGTCAATTCTGGAATACAGTGGCGGCAGAACGGGTTCAGATTTTTTTGGGGGAGAGGCTAATTTCGGTCGGCTAAGTTGGGTACGTAAGTTTTCAGCTAAGTGCAAACACGACAGGCAAAACATGATCGAACTGTCATTATCATAGCAGTAACTTAGGAAGATGAATCTAAAGTTAGAAGGGCTGAAAACTAGGGCCAGTAGGGGGTCCGGTGGACAATGCTCCCCTGAAAAACCACAATGTTGGTAATTTTGTTCACTTTGCCTTTTAGGCAGCTATCAAGATTCTTCATATTACAGTCTTACTCTAATCTTTTTGTGTGTGTGTGGGGGGGGGGGGGCTTAGCCGCCTACTTTTACTTCTGGGGGCTATAGTCCCCCCGCCCCTGCTTGAATATGTTAATTAAGATAACGTACCTTTATGAACCTTGATGAAATCAACAGTGTTTTTAAGTACAATAGCTTTATCCAGTTTTATTTGCTGTGGTGAGCAACCTGGAACCAAGGTAGCCAATTCGTTAATAAACGCATTCACTTTATCCCTACGATCTTTCGCCCTTTCATTTTGGCTAGCTCTAAAACACGAGAATACAGTGAGAGCCAATGTAAGTAGGTTGAATGTATGCTTTAAAACACTGTTCCGTGCAAACCGGTCAGGGACGAAACTTGAGGGGGTATGGGAGGGGGGGGGGTGGCACCCCCCAAAATACAAATCATCCCGATTGGCAGGGCAATCAAAATGGGCAAAATTCCAACAAAATTAAATAAATGAATTATGAGTAAAATTTTAAACGATAGAATGTAGAGTTATTAAGTAAATTATTACAGCTAGCAAACAATAAGCAGTTCGTATGCATGTACATTGGCATCGGCAGTTCAATTATGCACGTAGCTTAGTGATGTATTGTATTAGCGCTGGCGCTGCGGGGCATCATTGGTTTTGACAGGGCAATTCTGCCAGACACTCCGTAATTAAAAGGGGCCAGCTTCGCCCCTGAAACCGGTAACCAAATCATCCATCATTGAAAATTGTTTTTCAAGATGCACAAACTGACAAAATATTTCAGTTTTTCTATCACTAGACCATTGATGGGTGGACCATTGGATATCCTGGGAGAGGGGGTGCCGGGCAGATGCCAAGAAATTCAGGCAAAGAGTGGAATTTAAAAACATTCATGCAAGCCTTTATGTATCAGTCAATTCCAGCGGTGCCCATCCCCCTCCCCCCCGGGGAATTAGCCATTTCTGGAAAGAAAATGGCTATGTCCCGACCCCAGGAAAAGAAGAAATGTGCTAAAGCCCCACCCCTGGCATGGGCGTCAATCCTGGGGTGGATGGGGGACGCGTTCCCCCAGTTTTTAGAGTGGGGGGACGAATATCTAATTATCCCCCCCCCCCCACTTTTTGACATGTTTAATGAAATTTTGTTTCTCGGTTATCTAAAAACCTAATGTAATGCATGGTATGCTATTCATTAAAAATTGTGATTGAAAGGAAGACATTTAATAAGAAGATGTACAATGTATGATCTTTCTGCCGTCGCTGGGAGCAAATGCTGACATCGCTGATCGCATATGTTATGTAAAATTGTAAATACTTAAAAATTATTATATTTTTAACTGAGTTTGCCTTAAATAGATGATTATCATCAAAATAAGGCAAATGGTTAATTTAATAGATTATTATCATTAAAATAAGGGTGAGGACATGTTAGTCTGTGAACAGACGTTACTCTCGACGAAACGCGCACTTTGTCGAGAACAACGTCTGTTCACAGGCTAGGACATGTTGGTTTTTAGCGGATTTCTCACATGGTTAAAAATGGATTTAAGATCATGCACATTGTAATATATAGAGGATATTACACGGCAATGCGAAGATATGACTTTTATTTTCGAGTGGTGAAAACAATATTTTACGAGCAGTAAAATATTATTTTTAACACGAGAAGATAAAATTCATACCTTCAAGCCATCGTGTAATGTTCTGTTTATTATATAGTCCCAAATCCCACGCAAAACAAGCAAAAAGATTGTGAAATTTTACGCTCAAAAGCAAATTGGAAAAAGTCACGTGATCGATATCTTCACTAGTGAAGATATGGAAAATATTTCACTGTGTATTTTTCAGTATCTCACTCTCTACTATAAAATAAAACTTTGTAAGTGCCTCCAAAACGCTGGAATGCCGTTTTAGTATACCAAAATTTAAAAAAAATTTCGGGTAGCATACTTCCAGACCTTCCTAGTTTGGAGTTCCGTCCCCCCCCCCCCAACTTTTTGGGATGGATTGACGCCCTTGGCCCCTGGGATAACAAATTGGGTCTATATCCCCACCCCCGAGCAATAATATATTGACTGTTTAGTACATGTTGCCCATTATAATTCTATGCCCATGGACAATATAAATGCAAAGTATAAAAAAGAAGTTCTACAACAAGGATAAAAATGCTTTTATATTAATGCAGCACTATATAAATTCTCAACCCTAACTTCAGCACATCTAGTGAAGACCTATGTACGGCTATTAATGTCAACCCTTGAAAATATTGTCTTTACTTCTATGGGTCCAGGACACACAGGTGTTGGTGACCGAATTGATACTGATTTGCGGAAATGACTATAAACCCATGTAATAATTATCCCATGCAGCTGTTAGGAAGGGCAAAATTTTTAATGGAGGAAGAAACTCCTAAAGGAAAGGTGAAGTTTCTAAAGGGGGGCGAATTTCCTAAAGGGGGACGAATTTCCTAGGAATTTTGCCTCCCCAGGAGGGCGAAAGCCCCAGTAGTGAAGCAAGATTCTCAGATGAACTGGGCCCTTTTGATCATTAGTAAAAAGTAAACCTTGTTGAAAAAGCTGCATCTGCCTGCTTTCTCATATCCTCTCACATTCTCGACATTCCATCTTAAAAAAGTCAGAAAAGTCAAGGGTGGTGTTAAATGGGTGGGTGGTGGATGGTTGTGGTGTTGGAACACCCCCAGTCGTCAGGTAGTCGGCAAATTATCTAATCCCAGTTGGATAGCGGCAGGTATTTTCCGCGGGTGACGGGTGACGGGTAGCGTGTGCGTAGCGGGTGGCGGTGGTTCTCGTAATTCATATGTTGAACACATAGAATAATTTACGCAACCTCGTTCCCAGGGCTTTCGTATGAGGGCGAGGCGGAGAGACGAGAAAGCCCTGGTCTGGGCCGGTCACGTGACTACCAAAATATGGATATATTTGACAGCTACTCGTCAAGGAGTGGCGAGATATTCTTAACTGGAAATTATATACAAGTCTTCAAAACAAATAAACAGTGTAGCGACGTTTGGCACAAATACCGATATTTCTGAAGATTTTCAACCACAGTGACAGGCAAAGCCAAAGGCACAACTGTATCTGAACATGATTTCCAAGCTGCATCTAGGTGTCGCCAAGTGGTGATTCACAGGAAATTTGGTTTCTCTCGTCTTTAACAACATGGCTATTGCCTTTAATATTTGGTTTAAATATTTATTTATTATTGTCTTTATTAGGGTCCATTACAGTATATGTACAAAGTCTAATTATAAAGTCACAGTGGCGTGCTGGCAGGGGGGGGCAGGGGGGCCACGGCCCCCCAGCTGGCAATTCTTGGGGGGCGCAAAAATGAAAAGGGGGCGCCGATCCCGCGCCGAATTTTGAAAGTGGGTGGGAAAAAACGCATTTGAAAAAATATAGTTACTTCCACCAAGAAAAAATGTGTTTATAGGCTTATAAACAGACTGAGCGCATACGCAACAAAGTGATATATTAAATTACAGACTATTTTGTCTAACCAGCCAGTATTGCTACCTCGCACGAAATCGTTCATATAGAAACATGATCAGTGATCACACGCAATGTATCATTACCGGAATATTGGTCAGGTTTCGAAGCGATCACGGGAATGATGCCCTTTTTTGCTGGTATTATGCCCTTATATTATGCCTTTATTATGCTTCACGAATCACGAGAGCGGCGCAAATTAGATAGTTATGATAATGTAAAGTTGTGTACGCAATTTAGTTGTTTGCACAAGAAACATCATGACTCATTGAGTAATGTAAGTAGTAAGATAATGCTGAAACGCGCGCCCTTTTGGCGCAAGGAAACCTTCAAATGCATGGTGTACCACTGACATCGCAGGGCCCGCGGAGCGTATTAGAGAGTGGGGGGGGCTAAAGGGTGAGGTTTAATTAATTTAGAAAGTTTCATTTAGATTTCTATTTTAATAATTTTGGCTGTCAAAAAAAGTGGGGGGGGGCTAAAGCCCCCCCAGCCCCCCCGTCTCCGCGGTCCCTGCATCGACTCGCACCGATGTGCAGATGAACTGCTCAACTTTGCAGAATCTTTTCAAAACTTGAAGTGTTCAGTGATTTTTGATGAAGACAAAGAAGAAGAGAAAGATTCTGATTTAGACTCCGGTTCTGAATCTGAAGACCACGAAGAAGAAACCGACAGCGAGTCAAGCGACGACGGATGAAGAACCAAAGGACAAGGATAAACCATCATTTCTAGAAGCTCTGAGAATTTTGTTGAATCCTGATTACCACCTAGTTGATGCATTTGATACCGTAATGAACGATAATATATGCGAACAGTTTAGAGACTGGTACGAGCGACCAGCGGCGCGCCTCGCGTGCTCAGAAAACGTTCGAGAAACGTTGCGTTTTGAACTAGTGTTATTCTAGATTATATCTTAGTATTATAAACATATTTGAAGCGATTCTATACATAATAAAACGATAAAAGTCATAAAACATCGTGTGTAGTATCGAGTAACATTTTGGAGGTCCCACCGAGACGAAAATATGGAAATACAGTGATTTTTGGCGTATGTTTTGATCGAAGAAATGTAGCGAAGGTACGCGTATATTTTAAATTAACGTTGAGATTTGAGAGTGTTTATTGTCGAATATTTGTTGGATATTTCATTGAATTGGGTTCAAAATGGATGAAGAAGTTATGATAGAACTCCAGTCTTGTATACTCGGTTTAAATATAACAGATTTAAAAGATTTTGGTATAAAAATGAAGTGGCTCACAGTTGAGACAACAGAAGGCAAAGGGAAATTCGAACTGATTAAGACTATTCGCACTGCTTTTGAAGACGAAGCCAGCGAGTGTGAAGAAAACGGTTTTTTAGACCTAGTGGAAAAAATTAAATCGCTTTTGTATGAGCAAACTTTAGACAAAAGTAACGAAGACACAGAGAAAGCCGAGAAGAATAAACAAGAACTGGTAGAACTCGAGACACAATATGAACAATTGTCAAAGGCACAAGAGGAATTAAAACAGAAGATGCAACTATTAGAACTTGCCCAGAAAAAGTCTAACTTGTCGAATAAACCAACCGAAAAGCCCGAAGCCAAAGCAAGTACCAGTGGTGAAACTGAACTGTCTGGTCTTAATGCAAGTATTTTTCGAAGGGAGTTTAAGATACAAGGTCAGATTGGTGAACCCGGACAGAAAGACAAATTGACCTATCAGTCGTTAATCTCGCAGATCGAAACCGGGTTAAAGAAAGGCTATACAGAGCCCGAAGTAGTTACTGCAGTTATTCGCTCCATTCAAGCTGGATTACAACTACGCAGCTACTTGGAGGGACTGAGTGGATTAACACTGCCAAAACTGCGTAAAATGCTCCGTTTCCATTTTCAGGAGAAGAGTGCCACTGAGTTATACCAGCTCTTAGCGAATATTAGCCAATCACCAAAGGAAGACCCGCAGTCGTTCCTTATTCGCGCTTTGACCACTCGACAAAAGATTGTCTTTGCATCACAGGAATCGGACAGTAAAATTAAGTATGATGAAGAATTGGTTCAAGGACTATTCCTTCATGCTGTCGAAACTGGCCTAGCGGATGAGACTATTCGTGCAAAGATCAGACCCCTGTTAAAGAATCCTTCTGTGGCTGACGAAGATTTAATCGAAGCGATGAGCCTAGCTATGTCGGCAGAATCGGAGAGAGCTAACAAATTTACACAAGGTAAACCGGTTAGACCGTCGACAAAGATATCAAAAGTGGAAGCTGGGGCCAGCGGTGAACCGAAGGAAAACAATCCAAGTAACCAGCGGGAAAATCAGATCCTGGCTACACTCAAGGCCATACAGTCAGAACTGAACACTGTTCAATCGGAAGTGGCAAGCCTCCAGAAGAAAGTTGATGACAAAGACTACCCCAGTAACCATCCTGCTGAAGGTGCAGCCAGAAGTGACAACATGTCGCGACCCAGAAGTTTTTACCCCAGACAATGTAAATCGTGTTACGAAAACAAACAAATGGATTGCTCCCATTGCTTTAAGTGTGGCGGACCCAACCATACTGCACGCTTCTGTCGGTCGGGAAACGGCCGTCGGCTACCCCCGCGGGACAGGGAGTAGCCCCTTCAGTAAAGAACACGTCCCGCTATTGTAACTGTTGTCAGAAAGAAGAAAGAAATGTAAATTTTAAACGTTGCTCCGCTTGTAAGTTGGTATATTATTGTTCGACTGAATGTCAGAAGAGACATTGGAATGACCACCAATCACTTTGTAAAACTATTCAGGGCTTACCAAAGCCACAGGGAGAACATGTCAAAGGACTTGGTGATAGTTGTGACTCTAGTGTTTTTGTTAGTCATATAACCCCTAAACAGCAAGCTGCGGTTGCAAGATTAGTTGGTAGAAAATGTTCTGTTAACTGTTGCCTAAATAATTTGAAAGTAACAGCCCTATGGGATACTGGAGCTCAAGTCTCTATAATTACCGAACGCGTCTTGAAACAACAATTGCCTGACTTGGAGATACGGGATATTAACGAGTTACTGGGAGTGGATTCTGATCTTAAGTTGACCGCTGCTAACGGAACTACAATACCTTATAAAGGTTGGGTCGAAGCAAAATTTCGGCTAGACGGTGAAAACGAGAAAGAAGTAACTGTTCCTTTTCTAGTGACGGAGGAACATTTAGATCAGCCAATCATTGGCTACAACGTTATAGAATTATTAGTCAAAGACAATGACAACCAGTCCAAGAACCCCAGTTTGGTACAGAGTTTAACCAGTAGTTTTGAAAATTTGAAAGAAGAACATGCGAAACAATTAGTAAACCTGATTGAAACGAACGATTCAGATTTCCTTTGTGAAATTAAGTCAATAAAACGGGACATAGTCATACCAAAGGGCACGACCGCCAGAGTACCTTGTCGGGCAAACACAGGCAGTGTCACCACAACGATGCCAGTGTTGTTTGAGCCAGATGAACAATCACAATGGCCTTCTGGTTTAATTATTCAAGAGACCCTTACAACAATAAAAAGGGGAAAGTCAACCATTTTAGAAATTCCTGTATTCAATAATACACAGCATGACATAATGTTATCGAAACGGACAGTATTAGGGCGAATCCAACTGGTTCGTTCAGTTACTGAAGTTGATGTGAGGTTGAAAGATAGCGAAGACAACGAAGGGAGAGATGTTATGGCTCAGTCGGAAGCATCGACAATAGGAGGGAAGGGACATTATACAAATCAGGAAGAAAGTTTTACACCAAAAGTCGATCTCAGTGGACTCACACCAGAACAGCAACATGTCGCTCGGAAAATGTTGTACGAAGAACGTGACGCTTTCGCCAAAAATGAAGATGACATTGGTTGCATACCAGACCTGCAAATGAACATCAACCTGACAGATACGCGACCGGTGCAAAAGATCTATACAGCTATCCCTCGTCCCCTGTACCCTGAGGTCAAGCATTACCTCGAGGACCTGCTCAACAAGAACTTTATTCGCAAGTCTAAATCACCCTATTCCAGCAGCGTTGTATGCGTGAGAAAGAAAGATGGGGGAATGAGGTTATGTGTTGACTATCGAGAGTTAAATAAGAAGACAGTGCAAGACCGCCACCCAATCCCCAGAATCCAGGAGACATTGGACAATCTTGGAGGCAATGCATGGTTCAGCACGTTAGACCAGGGCAAAGCTTACCACCAGGGCTTTGTAAGCCCCGAATGCCAACCATTAACAGCCTTTACAACTCCGTGGGGATTGTACGAGTGGGTAAGGATACCATTCGGTTTGACGAACGCACCCGCCAGTTTTCAACGCTTTATGGAGGGCTGTTTAGGAGATCTACGCGACCAAGTGTGCATCCCCTACTTAGACGATGTAATTGTGTTCTCAAAAACATTCGAGGAGCACGTGGAACATGTTCGACAAGTCCTCCAGAGGTTGCAAAGCCACGGTGTGAAACTAAAACCTAGTAAATGTAAGTTATTCCATAGAGAAGTTTCCTTCCTTGGTAGAGTGATATCGAAATCCGGATACTACATCGATCCGAAAGCCACCGAAGCCGTGACAAAATTAAAGGATAGCATACCGAAAACCGTAGGTGAAGTTCGACGACTCGTGGGCTTACTCGGAGTGTATCGTCGCCATATCAAAGATTTTGCCAGGATTGCAAAACCCATATACGAATTGTTAGATGGAAAGCATCAGAAAGTGAGACCACCACCAACTAATGGTCAACTCCCATCGAAACATCCAATAAAATGGACTACGGAACATGGAACTGCAATGAACAAGCTAATCGAGTGTGTTACATCACCACCCATCTTAGCATATCCTGACTACAACACCCCATTCGTAGTTCATACCGACGCTTCACAGCACGGACTCGGAGCGGTTTTATATCAAAAACAAGAGGGAACTTTAAGGGTAATTGCATACGCCTCACGTACCTTGACTCCAGCCGAGCGTAACTACCACCTCCATGCAGGGAAATTGGAATTCCTTGCACTGAAATGGTCAATTACGGAACAATTTCGTGATTACCTTTACTATTCCCCTCGATTTATCGTTTACACGGACAACAACCCTCTCACATACGTCCTGTCGACGGCAAAGCTAAATGCAACCGGACTGCGATGGATTGGAGAGCTGTCAGACTTTGACTTTGAAATCAAGTACAGACCTGGAAAAATTAACATTGATGCCGACAGCCTATCCCGAATTCCAGGAGATTTTACGAAATATATGGACTCCTGTACGCGGACTGTCTCTCACCAAGAATTTAGTGCTGCTGGTTCCCAGATTCGTTCGATTGATAACGGTAACACTGTATGGATAACATCAATTACAGATCAACCAGATGTTTTGGAAACCGATAAACGTCACTTGTCAAATCGAGAGAATACGAGTCAAATTAAGATGGTGGACATTGCAAAAGCTCAAAGGGATGATCGGACCATAAGCAGATTATTATGGTATGTGAACAGTAAGACAAAACCGACCTTCGATGACCGACAACAGGAGACCCGGGAAGTGAAAAGACACCTTCGAGAGTTGAGTAAATTACACGTGGAGAAGAAAACCGGCATCTTGTATCGTGGCCAACAGATTGTATTGCCGCTTCAGTATAGACGGTTGGTGTACCATGAACTCCATGAGGAAATGGGACACCTTGGAACGGAACGCGTGTTTGCTCTAGCTAGAGAACGATTTTTCTGGCCTGGTATGAGGACGGACATTGACCATTACATCAACCATGTTTGTCGTTGCCTGAAACAAAAGAAACCAAGTGTCAACACCAGAGAACCACAACAGTCAATCACCTCGACAGCTCCATTCGAATTGGTATCCATAGATTTCGTACATCTGGAACGCAGTTCGGGAGGGTATGAGTACATACTTGTTATAGTCGATCACTTCACGAGATACACCCAGGCCTACCCAACTCGAAACAAGTCAGCCCACACCGCTGCTGAAAAGATCTACAACGAGTTTATCCCACGTTTTGGATACCCTTCTCGAATCCATCATGATCAGGGTGGAGAGTTTGAGAATAAGCTTTTCTGGAAACTAGAACAACTCTCTGGCATTTCCCACTCACGAACGACTCCCTACCACCCCCAGGGGAATGGACAGGTTGAGCGAATGAACCGGACCCTTTTGAATATGTTGCGAACCCTGCCTGAACAATACAAAACGAACTGGAAGGACCATGTTAATAAACTAATCCACGCTTACAACTGTACGAGACACGAGGCTACCGGGTATTCTCCATTCTTGCTACTCTTTGGTAGGACGCCACGTCTCCCCATTGATCTCATGTTCAACTTGCCAGAGAAACAAGAAGTAACGGGATATCCAGCCTACGTAAGAAAATGGAAGACAGCGATGGAGGAAGCGTACAAGCTAGCTTCAAAATCAGCTCAGCAAGCCGCGGAGAAGGGGAAGAAACAAAGCAACAAACGTATTCGATCAACAGTCCTTTCTCCAGGTGATCGCATACTGGTGAGAAACCTTACTCCACGCGGAGGTCCAGGAAAACTTCGAGGATTCTGGGAAGACGAAATCCATGTAGTAGTGTCCCGAAAAGGCCCTGAAAGCCCTGTTTATGACATAAAGTCAGAATCTGGACGTGGAAAAATAAGAACACTACACCGCAACCTATTATTACCCTGTGATTACCTCCCACCAGACCACGGCGTACAAATTAACGAATCGGTCAAAACGAAGAAGAGTGAAACAAGTGAAGGAAGAGAAAAGCTAAAACCGAGAAAACAGTTTTCTGCAAATGACGAACAAGTTGACACAGATTCAGATTCGGAGGGAGAGGAGAGACCATCTGCACTGCCAAATGATATGAAAGAACTGAACGCACAACAGTCACAGCACACTGAGCACAGTGAAACGTTCGAAGACACCGAGAGAAATGCAGTGACACCAAGTGAGACAAGCGAACAAGACGGAAACCCCACAGTGGAAGAACAAAATCTCACAGCAGAGAATACTGCAGGTGACATTACAACGGAGAACCCAATCACCCAAACCCCATCGACGACGAATGAACATGAAAATGTGATCCAAGCGGGAAATAACGGCGAAGAAACTGCTAGATTTTATCCGCGACCACAACGAGTTCGACAGCCGCCATCACGTTTTGGATATAACACACCCGGAAATCCAGCGACTGGTGTGTTCAATGTATGTCAAAACCCCACCGTTGGAATGATGCAGACCTGCGGCTTCATACCACCACAACCGCACCTATTTTACGGTTACCCACCAACTCAACCACCATTTGATTACCCACCAACCCCACCACCGTTTGGTTACCTACCAACTCCATCACCATTTGGTTATCCACCAACTCCACCATTGTTTGGTTACCCTCAAATGTACCAGAACCAGCCAATGTTTGCGTTTTAGATATTTGGAACATTTTAAATCATATTATTAGAAAAACATTGTACTTTTGTCGTTAAGAATCCATAATTATGGAGGAACGTGTATCGTAACTGAGGTTACGGAAAAACGGATCTATATGTAGAATGAGTATGCGCGCATGAGTATTAGATAGGTTTGATAGAGTTAATGGGTTGTGTCTGATCAACCAGCCCAGGTGTCTTAGGTAGAAGATATCAACAATTCTAGAGAAATACCTGTAAATGATAAGATAAGAAGAAAGATCCGTACATGTCATGGATGGCATTCAATGAGGAGGGGAGAGTGATACCGTAATGAACGATACTATTGTTCCCAGTAAACTGCAAAACGATCGTTTTTTAGGCGCTTTGTCAGTGGCGGTTTTGTCAATGGCAAAGGACATATTTGTGTACCACGCGATTACAATTCTTTGCAAGCGGCGTGTGAAAAACTGCAAGTTTCAGTTTGACATTTCTGGCAGTTGAATGGTTTATAATTTTATTGTCCAATCAGATGCGTAGTTTTGAATTTTAAATCATCTGATTGGACAATAAAATTAGAAACCATTCAACTGCCATAACTGTCAAACTGAAACTTGCAGTTTTTCACACGCCGCTTGCAAAGAATTGTAATCGCGTGGTACACAAATATGTCCTTTGCAATTGAAAAAACTGTCACTGACAAAGCGCCTAAAAAAAACGGTCGTTTCGCAGTTCATTGGGAACAATAGTAATATATGCGAACAGTTTAGAGACTGGTACGAGCGACCAGCGGCGCGCCTCGCGTGCTCAGAAAACGTTCGAGAAACGTTGCGTTTTGAACTAGTGTTATTCTAGATTATATCTTAGTATTATAAACATATTTGAAGCGATTCTATACATAACTAGAGGGCACTCAGAGACTGCATACCTCCGCCCGTTACTTGGAAGTGAAAGGCAACCTTGGAATTTCCTAAGAAATCCACTTTACAATTCTTAAGCATAAAAGATTTCAGGCCCCCGCGAATTGAAATCGAATTGCTAATAGAACATATTACTGTTGTTGTGCTGTACAGTACTTGTAAAATAAAAACTTATTAAGTGTCATTAAATAAATGCATAAATTTTGCTTTATGCACTCGCGCGTGCAGTAATTTTCACAGTTGTGCTATTTTTAATTCCCAGGCAGCTAAAATCTTTTGTCTTTAAAACAATGTCGATTTCTTGGGAAATTCCGAGGTTGCGTTCTTTTTATACACCCTGTATTGAAGTAATCTAATGTTGTTAGAATTTGAATGGACTGGCACTTTGCTGAACGTAATAATACGTAACTCCGTAAGCCTTGTTTTAGACATTGAATTTCGGTCGCGTGAAATGCAACTAAGACAATAGATAATGAAGGCCGAAGCTTAATGAGGTTTATCATCTCATTATTGTCTTAGCACTGAGTGCATAAATTATACATGTCCTAATTACGCATTCAGTAATATTTTTTGTTAATTGACCGGGAAAAGCAAGACAAAATTTTGTTCATTTCTCGTTCAATTTTTAACCAAATTCAACCAAATTTTAATCAGTTCTTCCTTAGCCGATGGGAAATGCATTAAAAAAATTTCTTACGGATATGTTTGGTATTTCTTGAGTTATCGTGCTCACAGACAAACACACACACATACACACACACACACATACACACACACATACACACACACACATACACACACACATACACACACACATACAAACCCAGATGATTACATAACCTCCTGGCGGAGGTAATAAAACGATAAAAGTCATAAAACATCGTGTGAAGTATCGAGTAACACCAGTTCGTTGTTATACTGACAGAAAGTTTGCGCTTTTCAGCGATTGAAGATGCCAGTACAGAGATAAATCTTTCTGTCTCTCTGCTACTTCCACCATAAGGTGTAAAGACCAAGGGTGTGAACGAACCATGTTCTATGTTTACAATTCTTTCGGCGTATGCGCGTTTCTTCTCACGTTCGTTGGCGGAAAAAGCAGTTGATAACTTCTGGTTTCTGTAGCTAGGAGCGAAAGGATTAAACACCCGTACATCGAAGAATGCTCGTTAACCACGTTAGCAGAAGCTACCAGTACTGATATCCAGTCTTGCTTCATCTTTCCCGTTTGCTGTTGCATGGAGTTGCTCACCAGTGAGAGGGAGAAGGTTTGGTTCAATCTCCACGTCGTTAGAAATCTCGGTAGCCGTCTGCCAAAAAGATCGCGGATTCCGTCGTGGCGTTGATGTACGAAGCCGCCTTTGAGACACGACAATGCATGATCTACCGAGAACCGTTTCCCCGCAAGCACAAGTAGTTGGAATAAACTTGAGCGGCCCCCTGTATCTCATGCGAATAGCGTCGTAGAATTCTCGTTTGTTGATGACGTAGTTTTCTTCTTTTATTGGCAGTGAAGTTAACCAGTTTGACGCTCCTTTCATTTGGGCAATCTAATTTGCACGTTTCTGGTCCCCGTTCATCCTTTCTTGCAACTCCGCGAGTGTCTGTTCATGCTCCAGATTTCTCGATCTTTTGATGTCATTCTTTGTTGAGTGATGAGCTGTGTTGTCAAAGGAGTACTCCGCAGTCTGAGATTTGATGTTCGCGGTCAGTTGTTGACTAGCTTTCTTGAAGTATTCGTATTCTCTCTTGGCGATCTAGGAGAAGATGGGAATAGCAAGACCGCCAAAACGAGCAGGAAGACTAAGGAGTTTGCGTTCGTCTTGGGAGCAGTAATGACCTTCCGTTATGGCAGGAATAAAATAATGGTTTAGGATTTCATCGAATGGCTGCAGTAATGGACCAAAATTGTTTTGACAACATCATCAGCTGCTCGCACCATTTCATGACAAGTTCTTTCGCATAGTTTTCTCTCGATTCCTTACTTTCAACAAAACCACCAAGATATATATGCACGTCCTTCAGATGTGATGTTAATATCAGTGTCCGTGAATATCTCTCTCGCAGCCTCTACTCTGTCCTCTTTCACAACTAACCAAGACTTCGAGGATTTCGGGTTATCGGGTAGTATCCCAAGAGAGGACCAAAGTGAACAACTTGATTCCACCACCGTTCGCAAACACCCAAGGACTCCTGCACCACCGAAATCATCAGCATACGCTGCGTGCTTCATTTTCTCATCACTCGCAGCGCTAGCATCATCTTTTCGAACTTTTATCATCTGCAGTAATGGTGCGATTCCAACTGTATACGCTGGCATTGCCATTGGATCTCTCTGAGTTGTTCCCTCTGCGATAAGATTTCTTTGTCACCCATTACAAATAATCGTGACGGTGAGCCATAACAGTTTATAACATACGTTGGCATAGGAGGACAAAGATAGCGAATGTATGGAGAAGCACTTGGCGATTAAGAGAATTGAAGGCGTTAGACGCATCAACGAGTAGAATGGCATCAGTTGCGTCTTCTTGGAAAATCTCCTCCATGGCATGGGCTGCTGCCTCACATCCCGATGGTAAACCAGCTGCAAGTTGAAGTGATCCAGTAATCATTAAAATATCAGGTTTGATGACAGAGATGATCGACTTTCCAATTATGCGTCCGATGACTTCGCCAATACCAATGGGCCTCACCCCCGGGCATTTGTCAAGAGGTATGAAACGACATGCTACGTAAGCTCCTATTGAAGATTGATGGTCAGATTCAGCTTTCAGTTCTTTCGTACAGAGAATACGGGCCATCTCAGCAAGACTTGAGCGAAATTCAGTCCCTGCAGTGCCAAAATTTTTGGATACGAGTATTCTTCGCCAACCGTCAGCATCTAATCCTGAAGGGCCTGCTGCACCTTTTGTATGTAGAGCTGCTCTGGCTATCGTCGACTCATCGATTATTGAAAACATGGCTGGATCAACAAATGGTACTTGTCCTGTGATTAACATTTCTTTATCTGCTTCCATAGCTTCGGGATGTTTTGCTTTCAGTTCTCGTAATGTATCCTCTGATAACTGAAGAACGCCCGACGTAGAAGTGTCATCCAGTAATCTCATGGCAGCGTTGACTTTACCAGAAAGCATTAAGTTAGCAAACGTACGAGAGATGTGTTCAGGCGATCTTGGCTTCCAAGTTGATTGGAGTCGAGATTGAATTGCTCTGAACTCTTTTAACAAACCATTAAAATCTCCCAATTTCCACAAATTCAACCGTCTTTGTAAGCACTCACTATGTTGCTTACATTTAGATTTAAATGATGGTTTCTGAAGGAGTAAAGCAGGCATCACCCATCACAGCTTTCAGGGCAACATCTTTCATTTCCATTGAATCTGAGTTCCACATGTTGATAAGACTAGTAGTTTCTGCAATGAACTTTGGTTAAATTAACTTGGTTAAATTACTTCTTACATAAGGAACACATTGTGGATCATTGTTTGAAAGGGGAAATACGGCGATCGACTCATTTCACGCGGTTTCAGACACGAAGATGTTCTCACACTAGATCGGCCCAGTTGGTGGGCCTAAAACAACACATGTTTGATTAAGTGTTCTTTTCACAAACAAAAACATTGAGTTTGTTTCGCGCGAAAACTAACCGTTTGAAAACTGAGCTTTTTATTATAAATATTTTCGCTGTTGTAAAAAAGTCCATTTAAATGCTGTGTTCAGTGCTGTTGAGTGTTTTAAGGACGTTTTCAACTACAAAAAATTGTGCTAATATTCTTCGCTTGTTCGACTATCTCCTTGGCTGGTTTTGGACTGTTTCTGAACTAGTTTTTTTTCTCGCAAAAATGGAAAGTAAAAAGGGAGAACATACCGAGGACAAAAGGTACTGAGGTACGACCTGTTGTGTGCCACTTTGTAGAAGCAAAAGTGTAAAATATCCAGAATTGTTTTTTCGCCGAAATTCACTCAAGATTCCAGCTTACGGGAGACATGGCTGAATTTATTGCATAAAGATGAACAGCCATTGAAAAGCCATAAAATTTTCTCTTTGCATTTTCCTGGCGGAAAGAAATTATTTGACGTATTACCAACTGTCCTTATGTTATCATGTAGACAAACAGTTAAGAACATGTTCTAAGCTGTGACTCTATTCTAAATACTACTGATGAAAATACTGAATCTGAACAACAAACATCTGGCAATATAAAGCCTGATATTACAACAACAATTTATTGTAAAGAAAAAACTACTAAAATTTACTTAGTATATTATATCAAATATAGGTAGAGGCTACCTGTACGTAATAACCATATATAAAAGGGCTAGATACAGTGGCGTGCTGGCAGGGGGGGCCGGGGGGCCACGCCCCCCCCCCCAGCTGGCAATTCTTGGGGGGCGCAAAAATGAAAAGGGGCGCCGTCCCGTGCGGAATTTTGAAAGTGGGTGGGAAAAAACGCATTTGAAAAAATATAGTTACTTCCGTCAAGAAGTATATATTTATATAGGCTTATAAACAGATCGAGACTAAGCGCATAGACGACAAAGTGACATATTAAATTACAGACTATTTGGTCTAACCGTATTGGCTAATTTGCTACTTCACAGCTCACACAAAATCGTTGATATAGAAACATGATCGGTGATCACACACAATGTCTCATTACCGGAATATTGGTCAGGTTTCGAAGCGATCACGGGAATTATGCCCTTTTTTGCTGGTATTATGCCCTTATATTATGAAGGTATTATGCTTCACGAATCACGAGAGCGGCGCAAATTAGATAGCTACGATAATGTAAGTTGTGTACGCAATTTAGTTGTTTGTGCAAGAAACATCATGACTCATGAGTAATGTAAGTGATAAGATAATGCTGAAACGCGCCCTTTTGGCAGTCAAGTAAGGTAACCTTAAAGTGCATATGCGTGGGGTCCGTGTGTTATTGTATAAAAGAGCTGTATGTTGTAAATGTATTCAGATCACGAGATCAGTAGAGAATAGAATTGGGATTAGATTAATCGCTGGAACTGAGTTAGCATTGCCCAATTTAAATACTACTACAAAATTCTAACCAAATTGCAAATTTCAACACGTTATAATGCCGTTTCCTGACCATCAGATTTCTGTCAAACCTTCCCCCCAAAATCCAGGAAATGGCATTTCAGAGACCCTAAATTTAAAAATTTTTCGAGGGGACATGCCCCGGACCCCCCTAGAGAAACTTCGCACCTCCGGCGCTCGGCTCGTGCCTTCGACACTCGTTTATCAAGCGTTACAATATAGGGGCGCATATTAGTTGAAAGCCCACTGGCCCCCCCCAGAAAATTAGTACCCAGCACGCCACTGGCTAGATATCGGGTAGCCAGATCACAACAGCGAAAGATTCACAATAATTTTATTAGTACATTTAGATGATAAAATTAGATGATGGGTATAAACACATTTAGACGAAACACAGAGAGGGAGAACTGAAAAGATTTATTCATAGATTGAGCATAGCTAGAAACATTAAAAATATATAAAATCCATTAAAGCAATTCGTTTAAAAAGGTTCAAGTTAGTACAAAGTGTCAAACAAACTAGTATTATTCATATAAAAAGGAACTCTAGTGCCCCTCAAACATAGAAGGGAACATCTCAGCAGACAAAAAGAGAGTTTCGTACGTAGCGCAGACATAGTTATTGAGTATGGTTTGCCAAATTTGGCTGCCAGCTTTGTAGCAAGAATCTTGTGAAATCTTGCACATTCTTT